TCACAGTATAGAAAACACAGTAAATAAATCACAGTAAATAGATCACAGTACATAAGAAGATAAATATCGAAGCCAATGGTTCTCGAACATCTGTAACATACAAGGGATTAGTAACAAGAGAAAGGACGAGTACGAGACGCACGCCCACCCTCCGCGACGGCTCACGAGAAAGTGAGGAAGCTAACGCTGTTATGTATTGGGCCTACGTAGGGTATTACGCAACAGCTAGTTTCTTTGACAGGTTTGTGCAAGTTGAATTGTTTTTGCTGGCTTGAACGACCTTCCTCCTTGAACGATCCAAACACCAGATGGTACGGCCAGGTACGGCCATGGTACACAGCGTACACGGCTAGGTCAATAAACTGTGTGACGCAACATCACTAGCGCGTTGGACCGACGGAGAGCACCGATACCGCGGCACGCTCTACCGTACTCTCTCGCTCGCACACCTGCCCCCATAGACCACCGAAATTCCTCGGCACGCATCACACCGACGGAGAGCACCGATACCGCGGCACACTCTATCGCTCTCACTCTCTCCCGTTCGCCCGCTCCGACCATCTTCGGCATTGTTCGGTACGCGTCGACACTGACGGAGAGCACCGATACCGCGTCTCGCTCTACCGCTCTCACTCTCTCCCGTTCGCCCACTCCGACCATCTTCGGCATCGTTCGGTACGCGTCGACACTTCATGACTGTCATATTTATCCCTTAACCTTAAACCGAAGCATCGGATATTTTTATTCCCGTCAAATCATATAGATACACGCAATATAAATGGAATATATAACACTTCATTTGTGCTAATAATACTCAGAATTCATGCTCTATCGGTAACGTCGGGTATTGTCACTAAAATGATTAAAATAAACAAAAATGTGAAGTTTGAACGTTACCATCAACAATTGTTAATGTCCAATATCAATTTAGTGAGAATCAAAATGCAGTATGACCCTGTTCTCAGTAATATTTAATTACCATTTACCTGACCTTTTCATATTTTTGGTTATGTAAATATTTGTACACCATTGAATATCAGGACATAAGAGGGAGCTCCTGATTCAAAGTGATTTTTGAACATGATGTATATGTTGACACAGAAGGTGAAACTCGAGTATCAAATGTTATAACATGTTGACCACTGTTTATTACACGTTTGAAGCTCGTTTTTTCGCGTAGAATTATATTGCTGAGCCACCAATAGATAGTTTTGTGAAATATAAGCATCTGTTAAATACCGCTGTGCTAGCGTTTTGAACGGACAACTTTTAGATATAATTTTAGTGGTTTATTTCGCGAGTATCGCGAATCGATGATGTCACGGATTCAAGGACGGAGCTGGACAAAGGTCAATGTATTTTCAGTTTCTTTAAAGTTCTAGACAAAGGCGCGATTGACGCATTTACGTTCGACGAGCCGAAGCGTTTGGGTGTTTTCATCGGACCTCATTGGAAATTTATAGTGAAATACTTAGTTTTATTTCTGTATTATACTCGTTATTGTTTACTGACACAGCACCGTCTTGGATCCAGTTGATTAATTTCCAACAATTACGCCAGTTTTTTGGCTCCGATAAATTTCCACAGTGCGGCAACACATTCTTGAAAACAAAATGATCAGTGAGTAACAATTTTTATTATCAATTGCAGTTTTTCACTTCTTAATATATTATCACAAAATAATAATGTCTCGTCAATATTCTGTTTGGAGACTTTTTTTTTAATCTGGGACTATTTGCCGACCAAGTGGACTGTTCGAGGTCACCTTGTTTTTCGCTACTTTTTTTGCCGGCGGCGCGAAACCGGCTTTGTAACAAAGAACGTTTACATTTGAATGAACAAAAGGATATGTTACTACCACAGAATATATTTATGTGAATTATGTTGTATATTATTAAATGTAATTCGTCTTTTTTTTTTATATATATATACATATAGCATTGGTAAGTCTGCTGCTTTTGGTCTCCACTGGAGTCATTGCAGAAAGTTGTGAAGATAATAAAGAGGAACAGTGTGCTGCTACAACACCTGCTGTTTTTAACCAAGATAAAGATTGGAGTTCTGCTACTACAATCTATGATTTTCATGCTCGAGATATCCATGGCAATGACGTATCATTAAGTAAATATCGTGGGCATGTGTGCATAATTGTCAATGTTGCTAGCCAATGTGGCTTAACAGACACAAACTACAAAGAGCTTGTACAGTTGTATGAGAAGTACAGCCAGAAGGAAGGGTTAAGGATTCTTGCATTCCCATCCAATCAGTTTGGTAGCCAAGAACCAGGCTCCTCTGAGCAAATTTTAGATTTTATTAAGAAATACGATGTCACTTTTGATGTTTATGAAAAGGTTGATGTTAATGGTGATACTGCACATCCATTATGGAAATGGTTGAAAACCCAGGCAAATGGATTCATAACAGACAGCATAAAGTGGAACTTCACTAAATTCATTGTTGATAAGGAAGGCAAAGCTGTTTCCAGACACTCGCCGACCACAGATCCTCTTCAAATGGAATCTGAACTGAAGAAATACTTTTAAGAATTTGTATATTCTTTTGTGCTCAGAGTCTTAACCAGTTACACTTCCATAATACTCAACATTATGATTGTTACATGGACAAACATACAGTAATACTACCATTTTACTTTCTATATTGTGTAAACTTGTGCAGTTTATTAAGCACTTGTATAAGAGTCTCCGTTATAGAATAAGTCCTTGTCCCTTATTCCATTTGTGTTAGCATTACTCGATGTATGTATCAGATTAAGATGATACGAATAAATACATTTCTTTACTTTTAAGAATGGTTTCTCTCAATTCACGATTAAACACTCGAATTCGGTGTAATACATTTTATGTATTATATAAATCTCTAACAATGTAAATGCAAACTGTACAAACCGCAGCTGGGCCATCGAGACCCACCAGAATTACTTAGTTACGACTTAATTGTTAATATTAAATACACGAAACAGGCGTATCAATTCTTAACAATACAGTATAATATCTTATCATCTAACGCGATCACTATAATCGGATCGAAGTTATTTGGGTGCAAAAGATTATTTCACATATCTAAAATGATCTTGAACAGGAAATTGAATTCGATCCGACTGCAGTGTCGGAAGTATAGCATTATTTACAAGTTTTAATACAATGCGATTCCACTGATAGAAGCGGAAAGCTGCAAAACCTTCCGCAATACCAAGAAATTAATAGAATTTCTCGTCATCGCGATATATATATATATAATATTTTAGTGTTTCAAGGCACTCTCTACATTCATCCTTGACGTTGCAACAATACGAGACTCATCGTTTCTTCGCCGTTCCAGTATTGAAATGTACACCAATTCGTTCACGATGGTAGTCTCGCATAAATAAATATATTTCAATAAATTACAGGACCTCAGACGGACTCCTTGACATTAGTGTTCATAGTAGTCATTTCATGTTCCGTGTTTTTGTTCCTACCGTTCGATATCGTCACAGCATCTTCACAAGTCTGAAAAATTGGAACGTTCGAAATTTTCTGCTAAAACATGACCTGAATTTGTAAATGCCTGCATTCGCGGAAATTCTACGAGCGATGGATTAACGTAACGTTCTACGACTTTAAGCACTGAGTATTCTCAATGACTGAGAAATAGATCGGTTTATAGTATTAGAACAATGAGAGTGAATTACCCATAGTCTCTTGTTGTAATTCTACCTTGTAGGAAGGATTGTCGTAGGCCGATGTGGTTTTACGTGGGGATATGTCGGCTTTACTGCTAGTCCGCCTTTTCATCAGCATCATCAAAAGGATTAGTGTCGAGAGGATCGCGAGAGACGCGACGATGGCCACCACCACTAAAGGGCCATAGTAATCACCCTCGTGAAGGGGTATGGACGCAAGTTTTCCAGCTGTGTAGAGGTAGAAATCGAAATTTGAAATATTCCCCTTAACTCGGTTATTTAACGTATACCTAACAGTTACTTTCGTACCTTGCTGAGAAATGGTGGCTGGGAGGACACCCGCTTTGGTGACAAAGTCTTGGACGTTGCTTTTCTTAATTCTGCCGTTCGTCAAGTAAACTTCGAGCCACAAACGGTACCTGGTGCCCGGTTTAAGATCGCTAATGACTGTCTTCGCGTGAGAATCTCTTTTGGCGATCTTGAACGTGCTCGTGTCTTCTTTACCACTGTCGCTTTGATAGATCGCTCTGTAAATGTTTACGTATTTATCTTCCGGATAGGGTACCCCGCTCCACGTAACTTCCACATCCGTTGACTTTATCGTTTTGATTTCTACCCTGACGTCGAAGGAATACGGGTCTGGTTCCATCGACGTGGTCACGTGAATCTTCGAGAAAGACCATACAGTGAAACAGTTAGCTAATTTGCAAAGTGTTTGCATTGCAAGAGCTACAAAAATTTGTTATAGATACTTACCGTCTTTTCACTGATCAATTCCGTTAACTGGCCCGGAAAGGGAACAAAGAAGATGCCGACCTCGTACATAGTAGACGGTTTAAGATTCTCGATCATGTAATTTGTTACCGCCCTGTGGATTAAAGGTGTGCCGGAGTAAACCTTGCCGTCTTGCTCCTTGTATCTCAATTGAACCCCATCGATGAACTGTAGTTCGTATTCTGTGAACTTCTTCCACATTACGTTGATCCAAGTGGAGTTTGTTTCCGTTACTTGGAGCTCGGCGTCGATTGGTATTTGAGGCGGTAACGTGGTTATTTCCGCTCGTTTCTCCAGAGTTCGAACGCTATAGATCTTGCTCGTGGGACTGTTGGCCAAGTCCTTCAGTTTCACCGTGATTTTTACCTTGTAATCCGTCGATGGTTTCAGATCGCCCAGCTCGAACTCCAATTGAGGTGTTGCGATCAGGTCGTTCGGAGGTGCGAAGACTTGAGCTTTCCAGGTAGAGACATCGAAGTTCCTACGCAGATACATACAGTCTGTTTAGGTGTTTTCTTTTACATTTTAACCGTATAGAACGTACGTTTTGTCGTTGGTGTATCGCAACTCGACGCGTCCATGAAGTCCCACTAAGACTTGCGGCACAGTGAAGATAAGACGAACGGTGTTCTCGTCGAGGGCTTCGAGAATCTGGACGGTAACTTCCTCTGACGAGGAACCAATTGGGAATCCGGGAATGGCACCGGGTAACGGGAAACCTGGTGGTACATTGTGATCCATACCTGAAGAGGAAGCCAGGCCAGTAGCATTAAACTATAGGTGGGTGTATAATTCGAATTCGAATAATTTTGGAGATGCTTGATCCTTTCGAATGTCTTACATTTCCGAGTATTATACGTAGTACGAACAACTTGATCGAAAACATTGCCTTTAAATCTTTGAATGCTCTTGAGAACTATTCTGTTGAAATACATGTACATATCATTTTTATTGTCGAACTTTTAACGATAAAACGAAGAGACGATCTAAGCTGTTCCTCGATTCCGTTCAAGCTATTCCATGGATGACGAAGTAAAAGTGTTTTGCTGATCAGGGACGAACCTGACTGGTTGGGCGTTTGTGCTGCGAACGGGTGGTTCAAGTGCGTGAGTCCTGAGTGCGGTATGTGAGCGTCAATGTGAAGCGGCAGAGTGGCCTGCGGGCCACTCGGCCCATTATGTGGTATGGCTGGCTGTCCGGGAAAGTGTTGGAACGGTCCAGGATTGGGATCGTGTTGACTGATATGGGCTAACAGTTCTTCGATCTGTTGAGGCGTGCTCGGTATGTCTGGCGTATGAACGTGATATGTTGTCTGGCCGTTTTCGTTCTTTTGCGCGTAAACGTGCGGCTTCGAAGGTTTCTTCGGGCCGGCCGCGGACCCGCCGAAGTATCCCGGCTGTATTTGATTGGTGGTCGACTGTTTCTGATTCGAGATCTGTTGGTGGATATCGTACAAACCCGAGTGGCCCTCGGGTGGGCCGTGGTCCAGGTGAACCAAGCCTGGGTGTTGCAGATTGATCAAATGATAGAGCTCCTCGGGAAGGATCTCCTGCTCGGGATCACGTTGGCCCTGTTTGGGTCGACCGGGCAGTCCCGTCGGGGACTTGATTTTTTCACCATCGAACGCGTCGCTGGCGGGAATTTTCTTTTTCGGATTCAAGGGAATGATCACGTTCGGATCGACGCTGTCTGGACCAAGTATCGGGCCGCGATAAGGTGGGCCAGCCTGGGTGTTGTCCAGTTGCGGGTTGAAACTACTCTGAGGAATGTTTTGGCCGTTGGTGGGTACAAACGGGAATCCTGGCCCGGCGTTTTGATGTGGATTTAACGGGACGAACTGAGGCTGATCGGTCGCGTGGCCAGCCTTTGGCGGCGACGGTAATTTATTCGGATTTACCGGTCCGAGAATATGCTGCGTGTTCTCGTTCGGATGTACGGGGATCGAGACGGTCTTGTCCAAGAATTTGTCCGGTGCCAGCGGGCCAGGGAAGTAATCGTCTTTGTGCGGTTTCGCGATAAGCTCGACCGGTTTCTTGGCGTCCGTTTTCGACTTGGCCTTTTCTTTGACCGGTGTCAACGGCTTTTCGGGGGCGTGAGGATTCAAATGAAACACGTCTTCGACGCTTGGACGCGTGGGTTTATAGTCGGGACTGTAGGGTCCGTTGTACGGTACGGTGGGATGTCCAGGGTCCATTGGGTAATGGAAGAGTCCGTGGGTCGTTGTGATGTCGGTGTTCGCGTTAACGTCTGTCGAATCTTCCCGCAAGGAGGAAGTGGCACGTCCCGGTTGCTGGCTGGGCCCGGCCGATCCCGACTTGTTATTCGGTCTTTTGCTATCGTCAATCGGTCGCCGATCAAACGTGTCTGTGGCTAAGGGGCCGGGGAACGCGGGCGTCGCATTCGTTCCTGCAATAAGCAAAGTCCAATGTCACAGAGCTGGTCGTCGAGCAGCCGAGAATCAGACGGTGCGGTCGACAGGAGCTGTCCATACGAATTGTCCATGCATATTTACAGCGATAGATCCGAGCACATGGTACAAGCGTAGACGTACAAAGCATGCACATTTTACGGTGTCTCGTGACTGGACGGGTCGCTGCAATGTGTTTCAAAGTGTATTTTACGGTACAGGCAGGGGATGTTCTACGATAGGTATTGTGCGGAATTCTCTGGGATTATTAAAGAAAATGGTATGTGTAGATAATATATACAGTGTTTCAACGTTAAGTCTAGTAAGTTTGCATCGTTGATCGAGCAAAGTGTGAAAGAAATCGTTTACGGTGCGCGTCGGTAAAATGTGCGAAGACGCGAGTGGAGATGTGTACCAGGATGGATGTATGTATTGTATTGTATGTACACTTGACATTTGCACTGGAGAGTTCCAGTCAGGTCCGCGTGGCAAATAGCTTCCACCCCCTTTCCATTCCTTACCACCCATTACCAATCGAACGGATTCTCTTCGGAGACATATTTACCAGAGCCACCGCCACCAGAGAACCAAATGTTGATTTGACAAAAATTCTACTCTTTGAAGACTGCGGCCTCTAATACGGTGTATTTATGCAGTACATATCTTATTAATAAACCATCAACAATTCCAAAGGACATACATATGAGTCAAGCGAGTTTCCTCCAGCTTTTTTCTCGAGAAGAAAGATCGGGAAATGCTTATATTCAAAATTCTCGATCTTTTTGCAATTAGCGGGGAGTTAACTCTTTTTCTCAACTTCAGCATACAGAAGCGTGAATTTACCTGGCAGCTGGCTGGACGGGTGGTTACAACTCCATTCCATGCAACATTCGTCACCAGGTAGGTGTGCCAGAGCCGCCTGATAAGAGGGACAGGGTAGGTTTGCAGGCGGTAACGCTGGGACCGGTGGACAGGCAGCCTGGCAGGACACGTTTCCCATCTCGCAGTAACATCTCTTCTCGCATCCGGTCACGTTCGTCGGCAATTCACTCCAATTGTCGTACGTCTTGCCCTCGTAATTGCACGAGCCATTATTTCTGCAGCGTACTTCCTGGAATCGTGTGGAGATCGTTTTTAGTTGCAGTCGAATGCGATCGGGAAATACGAATCGCTGTAACGATCGCCGATTATTTACATTTACCTACCTGGGGGCAGCAATGGGGCGGCTTCGAGACGAAATCCGACGGAACGGTCTCCCAGTCCAAACAGTGGGGGTCCAAGACGTCGAGTCCAAAATCGGTAGGACACTCGATCGTGACGCATTCGGTCTTTCCACCCTCGGCGCACATGCAGAAAGAGATGCACTCGTCGTACCATTCCGCACCTACTTTGTAGATCTTCCCCCTGTGGCTGCACGAATTTTTATCCCCGATCTTCTCCGAGATATTTGTTTTGATCACTTCCGCGGGAAGGAAGACCTGCAGCGCGGGACCGGTTCGACTTCCTTCGATTACGCGGACGTAATATGTGTGCGCGGGTTCCAGGTTCGATATTACACCATCTGTAACGAAGGAATTGTTTCATTTGTTGCTGTATGTGTACTGTGTCTGATTGAAATAGATATGCAGTTTTCAGAGCTCACCTTTGTCAGGCCTCTGCTGCCGCCATACATGATTCTTGTCCGATATTTCCACGGTAACGTCCTGTGGGTTTTTCGTTGACAATTTTAGTTTAATCGCCGTTGAATTGAGTACCTTTGCGTCGGTAAGGTTGACAGTTAGATCGGTGGAGATCTCTGGTCTGATCTCGTGATCACCAAGGGTTACGTCGCAGAGGGTGATCGTGCAACAGGAATCTCTGAAATATCATACGATAATAAGATCGTTGAACGGAAGATACGAATGTCGCTGGAGAAGAAGACGATTTAGGAGTTTCTTATCGAGATCCCGTTACCTTGGATCGGCTAGAACAACGCAACGATCGTGTTGATTCGTCGCAGACGTGGTTTCGTTCGGTGGACATCTCGGTTGGCATTTCAAATTGCCGCCCACTTCGCAGACGCAGACTCGGGAGCAGCCATCTTCGACGCGTTGGCCTCTCATGATCGTCTTGTTCTCGAAGACACACGTTTCTTCCGGTTCAGGTGCTACGGAAAAAACGAAAAATCGTTTGGAACCGTTCGAATTCAAGGTTTTTCTTTGTGTTACGATTAGAACGACAGTTGCTTGGACCACCGAAAGACTCACCGGAATCGGCGGCACAGACCAGAATCGCGCAACAGGGTTCCTCGTTGACCAGCTTCTCCTGACAGAGTGGATCCTCGATTCCTCTGTTGGCTCTGACATATGGCGACGAGCAGAGTGGTTTGCAGTCCATTGCCACGCCACCCTCGCCGCACACGCATTTCTCTTCGCAACCTCTGACGATCTTCTCGCCCAAGGAATACGTGCGATTCCCATCGACGCACAACATCGCTGGCAGCAGAGTCGAGGAGATGTTCATGGTAGTTTCGTTGTGCGAGGCCACGTACTCCCCCCCTGCAAAAGGTAAAATTTTGTGACGGTGGACTTCATCGGTTAAACTGCTCTTTCTTTTAAGAAATATTTTCTACACGATCGGATGGTTAAGTTATAACTACAACCTTCAACTTCTTTGTCATCGTCGTCCATACTGACGTCGCTAAGATCCGTGATATTTGAGTGCAACGAGTTGGCTGGTTCCGGTGCAGAAATGTTCAACGCCCTGCCCCTGAACGCTGTCGTCGCCTCCGTCGTGTGCATTTCCCCTGTACGATTCTTGTTCCCTGACATCGAGGAATCGATCATGGACGATACGTTGGATGTAATAGTCGTGGGTACGATTGGTTCACCGCGAAATAGAAATGGAACCGTAATTCCCATCGTTTCCATCGAGCTCGTGGTGGTGGTGGTGTCGTCGATCGACTTCGTCGAAGACATCCAAGATGTCGTCGCCCCGGACTCAACCTCTTCCCGTTTAGAATCATCGTCTTTGACGGGTTTCTGGTACTTTAGATCGGTTTTGATCTTGAAGTCCGCAACAGGTTTTTTCTTAGGCTCGAGCGTAGTTTTGGAATCCTGATCTTTGGTCGGGTACTCGAACTTCCGGTCGTTTGATTCGTCCTTTCCTTCAGCGGGAAGCGGTTGCACGCTTGGTACTTCTGTGACGTCGATACCTGCAAATTTTAGAAACGCTGTACTTAATCGAGAACGAACGTGGATGATCTTTGGTGCTGCAAAGGAGTCGTTGGATTCGAATGATAGTGAAAGATATGTTCGTCGATATCCTGGAAGCTAAGAATCATCTTCGATCGAGCATGCGGGGGAAATTACATCGGGGCGCATAAGGAAACGCTAAAACGATTCTTCGATGACCAACTTCCGCAATTATTTTCGCCGATTCAATACCGAAGCACTGTCACTAGAAAAGGCTGTTAGCGTAACGGTAAAGCGATCGTACACCGCCGTGGACTATTGTCGGTGTTCGGCCGGTGAACTTGAACGCTTCGATAAAATCGGCTTTGTTAACGTTCAATTATGCCTTTTAACGTCTAACCAGATGCAAACAGAAGGCTTGCATTTACGGCTGCTCTTGCGATTACCGCAAGACACGCGAATACGTCTTTGCGTCGACTTACAAGAATTCGGTTAACAATCATGGTATTATCTATTTGAATTCTATTCTTAAAATTGTTATATCTCACTATACTGTGTGTAATAATTTAATCACATATTATAAAAAAGAGTTTTCACCTATATGAACTAAATTAAATTAAATTAAATTATTATCGCGACACGTCGAACAAGTTCTTAAAACTATACTTCTTTGACGCTGACCCGATTAGGTCTGGACTGATACAAAAAACGTCAACTTCTTTCATTTGCTTCGAGGTTTCTCCAGTACGCGCTTAACCAACCGTTGTTCTTTACTTCCTCTTCTAGATCAACCTTACGTCACGCTTTCCACTTAGTTTCACAGAATTCGCGTCCTTGGCAGGATGTACTGTACCATAAAACTGGGATCCGTGCTCTACAAGTTCTGCCACTCGCAAGATTGCCCGTAGTTGCATTTAAACAGGCCATCTCATCGAAACGACCTGGCTGCAATTTCACCGCGGATCACCGTTTCATGGATGTTTCGCAACCGATGATCTGCCAGCGATACCAGACGAGGCAGAAACTTTCCATCCGGGGCTATCCGATGAAAATACGCTCGGGACGTACTGTTACGTCAAACGACCCGATCTGGCCGATCGTCGTTCCCGTCGACCGCTTCTTCTACTATTCGCTGCTGGTCGCTCGAGTTTTTGCGGGACCGCGATCGATCGCTGGAATAGCGGGACAGTACTGGATCGTTTGCTTGCAGAGAAATTGCCGATGGACGGTTTGAAAGTTCAATTAAAACACACTGCGTCGCTTTTTCTCGAACGTTTATCCGATCATATAACATAATTTTAACGTATTACTTGTTAACACATTCCTAACCGGCAACATAGTCCTGCGTCATTTAAACATTATTAGCTGAGTACCGGTAACGTAGTTCTACGTCATTTAGAAATCAGTATCATTCATCACCCGTTTCTTTTTATCAAGATAATAATTACTTTGATTTAAAATTTTTGTTAGATTAGATATTCTCTTATATAACAGCTAGCTAAAGCTGTTCAACGTTTAGAAAACCTGAATTTCAATCTATAATACTTTTAAATAACAGAACCTTGCGGTATTCAGCTTACCAATAGACTTTTTAAAATTGTACACAATATTCGGTTAAGGGTCTCGCCTCAAAACTGCCGGTTACGAATGTGTTAACGGGAAAGAATCGAGAAAGTTGCTCGATCGAATTCCAGGATGCGACATATGTGCGCAGGTATGCGTACAGCCGATGCATTTCTATATAGAGGTTTTCGGGAACGTGTTGTACGAGCAGGGAGCTCGGTGTTTGGTCGATCCCCATCGGAAGTCGGGTTCGGTCGTGACTTTTATCACCGTATGAATGGGGAACCGTAACGGTGCGACCGGTTCACACGAGGCCGATGTTCGTCATCAGGATCCACCTGACGCGGCAGGTCGTCCGAAGGCACCGTGTAACGATTTTACGTGTAAGTAGGTGACGGTCTCCTTTTCTGTTCGCCGCATGCATATGTATGTATCAACACTGGCCCGAAAAGGAATCCGGCCCCATTTATATATTTATTTATTTATTCTTTTTATTTTCGTTTAACCTCCATCCGTCCCTCGTGTTACTTAATTTGTCCCTCGGTGTTAAATTGACACAGTGGTCAGAAATTAACGTAACGGAGAGATAAATAGTTACATTTGCGATTTCTTTAAAATAAAAAACACGGAGTTTCAGCTAAATTTACCTATAAATGACAGAATTATATCATTTCTTAAGGTGAGGGTTAAACGGGTTTCTTTTGGTACGCACGACAAATGAGTTAGTACTCTCAACAGTCAAATGCATAATACAATATAATCTCTAACGCGTTCTGTAGTTTATATGCTTCTCTATATACTGGAAATAGAACGCGAAAAGGATCCACCGTGTTGAAGGACGTCTGGTGTAACGATATCTCACGCACGATCGTGCGTGCTTCATTCGTCAGACGAATATCGTGTTCAGCCGTCCGGATAGAATCGAGGCTGAAACGTTACGGTACATCGCCGCGATGTTTGGTAATTGCGATCCATTCGCGAGCGGTAAACGGTATTCCGATGCGCCTTCATTTTCATCATCTTATTTTTCTTCTTCTTGAAGAGAGAGTCGGTAACTCCTCCCACGAAATTCGCGGTGCTGCTCGTACGGCATGTTAAAGATAATTCAGTTAACCAAGTTTCGTTCAGCTGTTCGATGCTCCTTTCCCATGACAGAGAGGAATCGTTCCTCCGGAAGAAGAGACTGAAGTTTAGTTTCTATCTGACGTTTCGCACCAAATGGGACGACTTCATTCCCAAAGCGATCCGTGTACACAGGCCAAGAAAACCGACCGTGGAACGCGGAATTACTCATCGCAACACTAAAAGGATCTTCACTCGACTTCCTCGTCGCCGGAAGTCTCGCCGCGTTTGTCCGTGAACCCGCGCCGAGGAAAGCACGTCTGGCCAAGTCGAATTCGTGATGAAGCGCGTGGCGCGGGAGCACGCCTGTTTTCTGCTCGTTACGCTGCCCATGGTGACGCAATCAAGAGCTTGCCGCTTGGATATGAAGAGGAAAGGTTCGAGCGATTAACGAGCCACTCTACGCGCGAGTTACGTGGCCATTTTTGTCGACGCCGCGCCATTTTCACCGCGGAAATACTTGGAAATTGTTCGTGTTCTCGGCGAGAAAAGCAACGACCGTTTAACGGAGATGAAATTCTTGTCTGTTACGAGTTAACAAATCGATTCTACGTGTTTCGTCGATATGTACAGGGTGTCCAAAAATAGCTTCGACTCTCGAAAATTAAGAGTTTCCCGGATGATTTTAAATTATTATTTCCTTAACAAAAATACTATCCGAGGCTTTGGAAACCCTCATTCTACGAGGTGTTTCGTCGATATGTACAGGGTGTCCCAAAATAGTTTCGACTCTCGGAAATGAGGAGTTTCTGGGATGATTTGAAGTAACTATTTCCTTAGCAACAATGTTATTCGAGACTTTGGAAACCCTCATTTCTGGGAGTCGAAGGTATTTTGCGACACCCTGTATATGCAGAGAGTTCCGCCTACTGCCCTGAACCAAGTTCTTCGTAAAAATTCTGTCGACAGAAATTCCTCGTTTCGGTCCGGGCATTATTTTCTCAGTTCGAGTTCACGGAATCAACGCTCGTAACCCAACGAGCAGAAACTCTCGAAGCTGTTTCTGCTGTCGTTGCCTCCAGAGAGACCTTGAACCGTGCTGTACCCACTTCGCGGTAGAACAACTCCTCGCACCGGGGTCTCGGCGACGTAAACAGAGATTCACTGCTGCGGGAGAGTTTCGCCGGTGAGTTTCGCGATGCGGTCGCAGATTAAACGGGGTTTAGCACTTTGCTGAGGAGCAGCGAATTTTCCTCCGTTCTGATCGTCCGTTTACCACGAAGCGTTTTATCCTTCCATGGAAAGAAGCGTGAGTCGAAGAACAGTCTTCGTTGCCTCGTTACGTCAAAATCGTATCGTCCTTCACGAATGACTCGCATATTTCGTCGATGCGTTCTATAATTCTATACAAAGACCAAATACAAGGTGGAAGAAATGGGAACGAGGCCGGACAGACTGGCCAGATGGCAGAGCGACAAAGAAGGAGGAAGAGAGAGGTTAAAATAGTCGGTCACCGAGCGTGCCTTTGACCATACGGTATTCTATCCTACTTGCTACACTCTGCTCGATCATTATTTCGTTTCGTACGTCGCGTTTCGGTGGTCGTCGATTCTCAAACGACCGATGCCTGAAGAGAAGTTCTCGCGGGGCGATCCGTTTCTTCTATTGGACTATTAACCCCTTGCCTTACGATTTTGTTGACAGCTGTAAGCTCAAAAATTACTTTACTGTTAATAATTTTCCAGATAGAAAAAGAATTTTATTCTTAGGACAATATTAATACCAATCAAACGGAATTTCACTTCGGCTCAAAGAAAATGAATAGTATACATGTTTATTAAATCCAGTTTGAAATCGTCATCACGTGTCTGACTCGATGTTATAAGGCAAGAGGTTACCACACTAGAACTACCGAAAATTGTGAAAATTTATAAAATGATTGATTTCTTCACTTTCATATCGTAATAAAAGGTGTAAAAGATCTGAGAAAATGTATTGTTACAACATTTTAATCTGATTAATTTCTTCACTTTCATATCGTAATAAAAGGTGTAAAAGATCTGAGAAAATGTATTGTTATAACATTTTAATGGCCGTTGTAAGAATGTATTGACAAGTCATTTTGACTTGCTCGGTAGTTCTAGCGTTAATTTTTTTCGTCGGATACTGAACGTAAACGGACGAATGAGCGGTCGAACGCGCCCGAATAATTCATGAGAGAAAATTTGACGATAAAATTTTGTACGAAGTGAAAGGACGCGCGCGCGCGCATTTTGCCGATTATACATATTCGATGTGGCAAAAGTGTTTCGGTCGAAGACTCGGAGATCTATAATATGCGCAGGTACACGCGCTACTTGCTCGTCGAACGACGAGTTGCTTGGTAGGCGGATCA